AACTTTTCTGTTGCTGAATAAATGTTTCCTTATCCATAGGATTTTATGCTTGGTATCTTCAGGTGGTGCCACTTTCAAGTAGCTACATTTTACAGGTCCTACTGACTGTTAGGAAAATGTAACAGTCAGTGAGACAATACACTAATATCATGTGGGGTTACAGTTAGGTAGTTTTTAAGCTTGAGTCAGTTTTTGATATCCAATTGTTGTGTAGTGAAGTCTCTCATGATATGCAGCAGGTTGAGAGGAATTCCAAAGCATCATCTTTTGGCCCTTTCATCTAATGTTCCCTCTAATTTTATGGTGCCTCTGTGGAGCAGACCTGAGTGACATGTTTAAATGACAGCATTCACTGAACAGAAGTCATACGGTAATTTTTTCTGCTACATGATTGTTAACAATTATAGGTGTATATTTACATTGTGGTTGGTTGGCTCACCAAGCTGATTCGTTGTTCCACAGATGTTTCATTACCCTGCTAGGTAACATCATCAGTGCAGCTTCCAATGAAGTGCTGTTGTGTTTTCCCACCTGTTATTTAAACTCTGGTATACTTATATTATTTTACTGTTACATGTATTCTACCTGATAAAATACAAAAAATTGTTTGATCAGATCTGAAATCTGGGGACCTGTTTAGCAGTGGTGCTATGTACTAAGTGGTGCTAAGTATAATACACTATCAAGAGATATGGCTGATAATTTTGTTACTCCTTTGTTTTCACACCTATTTTTATTTGGTGTCCAATGATTTTATAAACATCCATGTTGATATTTTGTCCAGATGAAATGTGTGACTTAAGTTGTCCAAGTGATCTATTTCTAATGAATTTCAGAACTTAGATTTAATTGAGTTAAGTAGACTAAATTGACATTACTAGTCACAACATAATGCCTGAAATGTTGCACAAATGTCTAGAAGAACGGTTATTCCCGAAACTGATCGGCTTTTACAGTTCAGTTCACCAACTTGCTGAATGTCTGAATAGAACCCATCTTGACTTTTTTTCACAATCAAAAAATTTAAACCAGAGTATCATTCACATTTCTTTGTGGCCACACTTCCTTCAGAGTTTGGTATAAGAGCAAAATATTTTGATATCAGTTGCACAACCCTGTATTTTTCAAATTCATCAGGAGTTGCCTTGGTAATTGCAGCCTGTAAAATGCATGCCATTCCATTGATTCCTCTTTTGGAAATCTGCTGTACAACTGGTCACACAGTAGGATTGCAGCAGTGTCAACATCACTGTCTTGAGTAGCCAGAACCTTAACTTCTTCACACCAATCAATATGTTCTCCTGGAGACAAAATTTTCAGTTTATTCATCTTAGCCTTTGCAAATGGCACAGCTTCAATTGTTGTCAAACAGTTTCTTTGAAAGAATTAGCAGAAAGGTGCCAGTTCAATTGGAACATAATTCACAGCTGTTAATGCGTGATATTATGTCTTTGTGAGCACTGTCAGGCAATATTTATTTATTGGGCTAATAAGCTTGTTCACTTGCTCTCTGCAGTAGTCGATCAAGACATTGTAACTTTGCATCAGTACACTGACTGCCACCTCACTACATTCAGAGGTTGAAATGCCACTGTATAACACTGACTTTGGGAATATCTTCAAATTGTACTTTTGTCACAGTTGACCTGCTGGACATTGTATACACTGTTCTCAGAAGTGTTTCACCATCTTGCACTGTTGACACCTGCATCCATCTATTCCCAGATCTAGCAACCCAGAGACCCAAGTAATATTCTGTGGACCTGGGTTTGGATCCTACCATGGCAATTTAATTTGACTCAATAAAGGAAAAAAGTCTGGACGTCCTATCTTCACATTCAGTATACCCTTCATTGTGTTGTGTGGCACTACAACTGTGCTAAATGAGGTGTCATAAGATCTGTTTGAAGTCTGAGGCCCTGTGGGCCAAAGGTGGCATCAGAGTTGTATTGCAACACAACCTGCAACCTCATAGCACAGTCCTCACACTACCATTATCATCATGCCAGGGGATTAACCTTGGTTTGATGAAGAGTACAGAAGAGCATGCTGGAATCAGCATCAGACATACATGGTCAAGTTACAAAACAAGATTATTTGTGTGCCAAACAGCATAGGCAGCAAGTGATAGGCCTTTAGAACTGACCTGTTCGCCCTGCCACATGCTGTTGTGAATGGCGGTAGACAGTTAAACGACTCACAAGAGAAGGGTCCATAAACATCCACATCTTCAATTATGGAAGAGCCCTGCAAATCAGCGCAAAAGATAAGGCTAAAGCACTTGCAATAATCTTCAGCCAGAAGTGCCGAGTGTATGATCCAGATCAGACTCCTCTGAATATCGCCAGAATTGCAGATGCCAGTCTTCAGCTAATTCAATCCACTCCATGTGATATCAAGAAAATTCTGGAGGCACTGAATACTAACAACATTCCAGTAATAGTACTGAACACAACTGCTCCAAATGTCTCCCAAGCCAAGATGTTCCAATATAGCTGAAACACCGGCATTTACTCCACAATGAAGAAAAATGCCCAGGTATGTCCTTTACCGAAAATCCAACCCAGCCAATTACTGCCAAGTCGGTCTGCCCTCAATTATCAATAAAATGATGGGTGATAGAAAGGTCCATCAATAGTGCTATCAAGCAGCACTTGCTCTACAATAATCAGAGTTTGGGTGATAAGTTGCAAGTAACCTTTGAACCACTCAAGTGCCAGGCAAAGATCATCTCTAATAATAGAGAATCTAACCATTGCCTCTTGAAATTCAATGGCGCTACCATCAGTGGATGCCCTACTATCTGTGCTCTGGGAGTTACCATTGACCAGAAACTAAATTGGCTACAAAAGCTGGTCAGTGGCTGGGAATTCTTCACTTGCCTGGAAGAATGCAACTCCAACAATACTCAAGAAGTTTGACAACATTCAAGACAAAGCTGACTACTTGATGGCACTATATCCACAAACATACACTCCCTCCACCACCAATGTTCAGTAGCTGCAGCATTCATAATGTACAAGGCGCACTGAAGAAATTCACCAAGGTTTCTTAGACAGCCCTTCCCAAATCCACAAAAAGGACAAGGACTGTAGATATATCTAGCAAGTTCCCTTCCAAGCCACTCACCATCCTGACTTGGAAATATATTGCCACTCCTTCATTGTCACTGGATCAAAATCTTGGAACTGCCTCCTTAAAAGCATTGTGAGCCTATGTGCACCAAAACATAAACTAATTCAAGAAGGCAGCTCACCACCACGTTCTCAACGGTAACTAGAGAATGGCAATAAATGTTGGCTTAGGCAGCCAAGTCCACACCCCAAAAATGTAAAAGAAATCCCTACACACTGATTTTATTCACAGTTTATTTACTTCAAAGTGAAACATTTTGGCTACAGTCATTGCCATCGTTGGTCAAAGGTCTGTGACATCAACAGCTTGGACATCACAATTTCTTTCATCCTTGAGATGTCTAAAGAGGATACTCATCTCTCAAATGGGTGCAATTTCACCAGATTCAATAGCGAAAAAGACATGAGAATAGACACTCGGACTGCAAGTGCATATACATGCAGTAAAGTGCAAGAGACCATACAATGCAGTGTCACCTGTGCTACCTACGTACTCTCGAAGATATTTTCTTCCCATTCCTTATGATACATTAAACAGCAATACCAAGATCCACAGCTAGGGTGGAGGGACCCTTCTCTGTACCTGTTGGTATAGAAGATTTGGGCAGTTGACCCTGGAGTTATTTCGGCCCAGAGAGTCCAGGCCTGCTGTGAACATTGACTCAAATGTAGGTTCACGGTCCCCAACAGTGAATTTTGTAGGCTTTGGCATCACAGGCATGGGACAGATGGAGGGCTAGGCACCTGTGTACCCTGAGAGGAAGCTTATGGGTTCCTGTGTTTGGGTCCTCTTCCCTTTGGGTGCCTGCTGGCACCACCTTATCTCTCTGAGAGGATACAGCAACTAGATTAAAGTCAAAGTCCTTTGTCCCACTTTCACCTTGCCATTTAATTCTATGAACTACAGCAATGGCGTGTAGACCTGTGTGCTCATATAGGAACTCAGAGTGCTAATCCTGGGTTTCCACAGTAGTCGCCAGTCTGTCCATGAAGGCAGTCAGATACACACATGCGGGAGCTAGTTTAGTACTGATAACCTTGGTGGACTCCTCCATCCTTCAATACTATTTAACCAAATTCCTTTGGTAAACCTGTTGTCCATGGAAGTCTGTGTCTGCATAAGCAGTTGCATTCTTCTCAGGTCAAATCCAACATTTTTTTGGACTGAGGATTCACCTGCTGGTCATCACCCTCTTCACCCCATTATGAGACATTTCTTTTTGCATTGAGACAAAAGGAAGGATGAAATGTGATGGAAGTAGATAGGAGAGCTCTTAGTCGTAATGCAGGGACAGAATAGGTGAGGTGTCCCCAGTGAATTAGCAGGAAGTGCTGAAGATAATTAAGAGTTGTTAGTTTGCGAGAATGGTGTGTGTGAAGAGCTGTTGAGTAGGCATTCAATAGTTAGAGCTGTAGTCCATAAACCTCAGCAAGAAGTGCATGAGATGACAGCCTTAGAGAATGTGGTGGCCCTGCGAGTAAGGTAGCAGAGGAAAAAATTGTGGCACACACCCGTGTTGAACGCAGAAGATCATTAACCTTTCTGCATTGCAGTGCATTCTGTTTCACCAAGGACACTGCAATCAGCAGCTATTTTTGTACAGGCTTACAGGCTGATTGGCAAAGATGACCACATCACCAGGCCCAATCAGCATGAAAATGTATTGCCTTTTTCCATTCTCCAGTTCAGCCGAACCTCCATGTCAGCAACGTGAGGCCACTTTCGGGGCCACTTCCTCAGAATAAACGTGCAGGACCACAGTGAATAAAGAAATTCTTACATTACATAGTTAATGAGATCATGTAAGAAGTCACCAAGGGCCATGGCAAAGCAGGCACCATGAACTTCACATGAGAAAACTTTGTCAAAGAATAGGAAAATTCAATGCCATTTTGATCAAGGGTCAATTTAAATGTGGAATTATCATCCTCAGAAAGTGGTGGGGGTCTTCGTATGCATTTAAGTTTGAGCTGGATAAATGTTTGATAGAAGGGGAGTCAAAGGTTGTCGGGGTTAGCCAGGAAATAGAGTTGAGCCCACAATCAGATCAGCTGCCATCTTACTGAAGGGCTCAAAGAGCCAAATGGCATAAACATACTCCTAAATCCTGTGTTCCTATTGTAATGTTGATGCTGTTGCTCTTTAAAGAAAGAATAAGAATACTTTTGTGTTTGCTTTGTTCTTCCTGGAATACTGGGCACTTGAAAGTTGAGAAAACAAACACTGGTGGGGGAGACATTTTTTAGCGATTCAGATACAATTCCAATACAATATAGTTGACTCTTTCAGGAGTTTTGCCTGAATGATTGTACAGCTGGCTTCAAGGAGACTAGTATTTGTTTAAACACGGAGAACGTGATGGAGACATTGCTGGTAAAATTTCTCTTGCACTGTTATGTGTTGCTGATACACTGTCCAGAGCTCACTGCAGTGGAGGAGTCCGGTGACAATTTTTCTATCCAAAGCTTTGTCAAGATGTGGACAACTGTTGTCAAACACTAACTGCATAGACTGTAGAAGTCTGAGGTGACACAGTCAATGGTGACCTCTTTAGAAAGGTGGCAACCAAGGTATGGATAGTGCTCAAGATACTCGAGTCTACCATTAAACATTTATGAAAGATCGAAAATGTTACTGACCAGTTCTGACTTCTTGATTTGGGAATATTCACGGACAGGACAATCCTTGGCTTGAAAATTAAGTATATTTCTCTCTCCAGGGCTGCTGCCAGATCTGATGTATGTTCCTAGGGTTTTCTATTTTTTATTTAAGTTTCCAGCGTTTGTAGTATTTTGCTGTCATCTTGGGAATGTTGGACACAACAAGAAGTTTTACTCACTCTCTCCAGCTACATAGTACTCTGGTTAGACCACACTTCGAATATTGTGTTCAGTTCTGGTCACCTCATTATAGGAAAGATGTAGAAGCTTTAGAGAGGGTGCACAGGAGATTTACCAGGATGCTGCCTGGACTGGAGAGCAGGTCTTGAGGAAAGGTTGAAGGAGCTAGGGTTTTTTTCATTGGAGCGAAGAAGGATGAGAGGTGACTTGATAGAGGTGTACAAGATGATGAGAGGCATAAACAGAGTGGATAGTCAGAGACATTTTCCCAGGGTGGAAATGACTATTACGAGGGGGCTTAATTTTAAGGTGATTGGAGGAAGGTACAGGGGAGATGTCAGAGGTAGGTTCTTTACACAGAGAGCGGTAAGTGTGTGGAATACGCTGCCGGGAGTGGTAGTGGAGTCAGATACTTTAGAGACTTTTAAGCGACTCTTGAATAGGCACATGGAGGATAGTAAAATGTAGGGTATGCAGTGCAGATTGATCTTAGTCGGATAATAGATCGGCACAACATCGTGGGCCGAAGGGCCTGTACTGTGCTGTACTGTTCTATGTTCTACATCTCAGCGCAACAGGATGCTCTGCTTGACCTATGCAATCTTTATTGCCTCCTGTTCCACTGGTGTAATGACAATAAAAGGCATTCCACCTCTGGTGTACTGGCATTCCTTGACATTCTGAACACTTTTTTTTTGCAAGTATAGACATGGGCAATGTCACTTCTGCCTCGTGGTGCAACTATGCTGTTTAGGCAATATAAATGCGCAGTACTGTGTAGTCACATGGCGAGGCGAATTGACATTCATCATGTCAATGCAACATTCACCCATAACTAAGCATGGAAATTGGGTGCATGAGAAGTGGAAACCTGAATGTGGACACTGGTACCTGATGGTGCACCATACACAGATCTACCACCTGGCCTCACATCTGATGTCTGCCTTTAATTAAAGCAGGTTTTCCAATTTTCAACTCTGAAATGTCACTCACCTTTCCGGACCATAATTAAATCTCTTCCTGCACTAGATCTATTTTCCAGCAATGACTCCTTGACTACTTACTTGTGACATCTGCCACTGCCAGCCATGCTTCCCTACTGAGACATGTTGGTCTACTGTCAGTCTGTCAGCTCAGGTGAATTGGTAAAATCCAAGGCCTAGTGTAACAGCTCTTCATACTTTGTAAAGGGGAAAACGACATATCATATGAGCACACAGCAGAGGATAGTCATCCCTATAACTTTCAATGTATTATTTATATATTACTTAAATTGAATGATTGAAAATTTGAAAAAATAGCAAACATAAGAAAATAATGTCGAGTAAATTTTTCTATTGTGTTTAAGTGCGTGTTTTATTTTGTTAAATGAACTGGAAGAAACAGATTCACCTCTAAGAACAAGATGAATAGAATTCAGTGATCAAATTGTTGGGAAATAATGTAGTGCAATAAATGTAGAGCAATGAAGAAAGTGCAGTTTTCATTCCTCCGTTTCTTAAATGGCCTGACAATCCTTCATGATTTCAGCAAGTATGTTAGCATATTTAATATAAATGAGCTAATGTTTGTGCTAAAATAAAATTTATTAAAATACAAATGTATCTGAACACAATGAGTATTGATCCCTGATAACCCAACAATAATTCTGACATTGCTTAAATAATTAAGCATTCAAAATCTATAGTTAACAGTGGTTGCCATCTCAGTGACAAAATTATCTGGATTCTAGTGGCAATCAAGAACTTTCCGCAACTGAACTGGCAATCTCATTACAACCTGGTTTTACTTAACAGGGTTTGCATTGACTGAAGGGGAAGTAGACATCTCAATAAATACTGTAAAAAAAATCAAATAAACCAACATTAGAGCAAGAATATAACTGAGGACCATACTAATTACTGTAGAAGTATTCTGTGCAGATGCTGAAATTTCTTAAACAGACTCACCTAACATTCTTCCATATTTAAAAACCTTCAGTTGCAATTAAGAAAAAATCATAATGGTGGCATATAAATATATTGTTTCACGACTTACCTCTAATAATAATATCATCTGTTAACATTCCAAATCCTGAGGCATGATATTCTCCAGGAAAAATTACCACTGTGTCTCCACTGAAGCAATTGTCTAAGGATGCATCTAAGTTGTCATGTTGCTGAATTAGTGTATTAGCAGAGAAATCCTTAACCTGCAGAAAGCAAGCATAACCATAGCCCAAATAAATAACTGTATTCAAACTGTGATAAATGTCTTGACTTTTTCACTCCCATATTTAGGAAAAGTAAGCTATTGAATGAAAATATATTGCAAGCATCCTACAATTCAAGTGAAAAACAGCCTATTTACACGAGGCAGGAATGTTTAAAAAAAAAACTGGATTTTCTATTTTGGCGTTCGATCTTCCTCATGTTTTAACAATCAACCTCAAGTATAAATAGGACAGTGCATCATCCATGAATGAAAATATATGGACTTCCTCTAAAATCCTTTTATTTTGCTGATAGCTTACTTGCTACACTCTCATTTATGTCATAACTTTGTTCCACACTTTTCTCATGTTTTATTTATGCAAATTAAAATCGTATTAAACATTGTGAGTTTTGAAAACTTTTACCTAAGAGTGGTAGTGAAGCACTGGTCGTACTGAATCAGAACCAGACAATAATGCTTATTAAAAACAACACAACACTGCAGTTTTTCACCCCTCCAAAAGGTAGCCTACGAAAACTGTGGTTAAACAGCTCAATGTTGGATGTGTACTTAATCTCAAAACTGCACAAACTTAAACTGTTAAAAATTGTTTTGAAATTCTGGCTTGATGGTCCTCCCCATTTCATAGCTATGGTATATGTGGTGTTAAAAGTGTATAGAAATTTTCTATTGAAGAAACTTGACTGGGAGCACTTTCCACAAGTTTTACACCCAGCTTCCTTTTGCATTAAATCAGGCTATGATTGGCTCCTCATATTGCACAAAAAGGTCATGTATTACGGTGGGCCTTGCCTCATGTTAACTTGCTCCTTGGCAGTTTAGTATAAGCTCACGTGTTCCTGGTATAGTGCTGTAAAAGGTATGTTTGGATGCTTGGCATATGTACTATCTTGACAGATCACAATATTAAGCAACCATGAGTTCTGGCCCTTGTCATTCTGTTCATCACCATCATCATTATAGTCTTTTTTTTCTACTATGTTGTACTTTCTCTAAGGTGGATCTGCAGGAAAAGAGGAAAGAAGCTAAAAGTTGGTGAACTTCACCCCTGTAAATTAAGGATAAGGAGAGGTGCAGAAAAGTTGTGGATATGTGGTGCTTCCAAAGATATCAGGAGGAGGATGCAGGTATTCAGTTAGTAACATGGAGTAAACGAGATAACAAGGTGTAGAGCTGGATGACAC